TGATCAGTTTTCCCAGAAAAACAGCCAGAGCTAATGGGCTGCCTACATGTCTCCAATGGTATTGTCTCAGTGAGTGGGATAAAGCCCCAGGAGAGTCCCCTACCTGGCATCCCACATCACAGACGGAGATCAAAGAGTCCAGGATTAAAGCTGGGTTAATGGGTGAGAGTTTCTATTGAGGGCTGACCAGGCTGGTGTGTAGTTTTGATTAACAAGTCACTCAGTAAGACACAAGAGAAACCTCAAATCCAATTTTGCACAGAATCCTCTAGGGAGATGGCAGAAGAGGGAGAGAGAGAGGAGAGAGACACTAAAGATTTTTGTGTACATGATCTCAGCTGCTAAACTTCGCTCCACCATTAATTCCTGAGCATCTATTGTGTTCCAGGCCTGGGAGGGTCCACAACTTAGCTTCTTGTAGTTAAGCAGGAGCAGGAACTAAAATCCATGTGCCCTGACAGCTCCTGCTGCTTTGGCCCGGGGAGAGGGGTCACCCTTTTTGTAATTTCCTCTGCCCAGGAGGAGAGTGGGTTTTCTGATTTGAAGAAGGAAAAAAAAAGTAAGTCTGTGCTAGCAGAGGCAGCACATACTGTATATGTAAAAAAACCAAAAAATGAAGTTCCCCTTTGCTAAGAGCTCATAATCTAGGGGAAGAAATAAAAAAAAAAAAAAAAAGGTAACTGTTCTGAAGGAAAATCAAGCAACTGGTGGTGATGTGGGCGCTCTTTGATATTTTAGATCAGTTGTTCAGAGAAGCTCTCTCTGAGGCAGGACATTTGACCTGGTTCCCAAAAGATGGGAGAGAACCAAGCGAAGGTTTAGAGGAAGAGATGTCTAGACAACAGCACAGCAAATCTACAAAGGCCCTAAGGCCATCTTCAGCTTGGTTCATCTCAGGACTATAACAAGAAGACCAATGTAAGTGAAGCAAAAGAGAGAAAGCAAAATCTCGAAGTCAGGTCAGATCACCTAGGGTCCCCTGGGCTGTGATAAGGATTCTCATAGATTATTGTAACATCATGGGAAGTCACAGGTGAATCTCCAGGAGCAGAGTGAGCCTCATGTTTGTAAAAGGGTCATCCAAGCTACTCTGTTTCTATCATGTGGGGGCACATTAAAGAATTCTGCAACATTATCTTCCCCTCTAGGAACTTCCACATATGTCAAAGAGACAGGATGGAAATTCAACTATATAAATGCTGTATATCAACTGCAGTACTAAAAAACAAAACAAAACAAAAAACAAAAAAAACTATTTATAGCAGCATTATTCACAATAGCCAATAAGTATAAATAATCCAAATGTCCATGGATGGATAAATGGATTAACAAACGGTGGTATATACTTACAATGAAATAGTATTCAATATTATTCTATCTTAAAAAAGGATGAAATTCTGATACATGCCACAACATGGGTGAGCTTTAAAAACGTTATGCTAAATGATATCAGCCAAACAGAAAAGGCCAAATATTGTAAGACTGCATTTGTAAGAAGTACCTAGAATGGTCAATTCATAAAGACAAAGTAGAATGACGGTTAGCAGGGCTTGAGAGGAGGGGTGCCGAGGAGCTGGTGTTTAATGGGTGCAGAGTTTCAGCTTCGGAAGAGGAAAAAGTCCTGGAGACGGACGGTGGGGACGGTTGCACCCCCGTGTGAAAGTACTCAATGCCGCTGAGTGGTTAGCATGGTAAATTTTATATTATGCTTATTTTACCACAATAAAACAAATATTTTTAAAAGGCGTACGATAAGGATCTAGGGACAGAAGACTGGGCAGTGTAGGCCAAGATAACAGCAAGTGCAAAGGCCTGGAGGGGGGAGTGTGCCCGCTGTTCTCTCCTGAACAGCCAGAAGCCCCATGGGCGGGGTGTAAGGAAGAGAGGAAAGGGTGAGGGCTATCCCTACACAGCCTTGCAGGATCCTGTAGTTCCCTACAGAAATCCAGTGGGAGGCAGGAAGCCACCGGAGTAACTTGAACAGCAGGTGATGTTCCCTGACCTTTGTTAAAACAAGATCATTCTGGCTTCTGCTTTCTTGAGTCTCATTTGAAGATGAAAATCAGAAAAGCATTTCTCTCACAGAGTAACTGTGAGCATGAAAAGAGGTAATGCATGTCAAGGGTTTAACATGGTGCCTGACATAGCATTCAATAAAAGGTAGGCATTACTGTGACAGAAACCCAAAGAAAGAAAGTAGCCTCCTGAGCCGTTTTGGAGGACTTCATGAAGGAGATGGCAGTTCAGCCAAACATGGGAAGAGGTACAAGATTTCCACCACCAAAGACGGGAAGGAGGAGAGGGCTTTCTGGGTGGAAAGAACCAGGTGGTCAAGAAAAGCAGCCAGCAATTAGTCAAGGCAGAGGAGGAGGGAATGTTTGATCAACGCCAGCAGGTCACAGTGAGGAGTATGGACTCTAGAGCCTGGGTGATTGGAGCATTGAAGGTTTTGTATGTCAAGATCTCTGCGCTTTACCATAAAAACCCTGGAAGTAAACATAGGCAGTAAAATCTCGGACATTTCTCCTAGCAATATTTTTTCTGGATACCTCCTCGGGTAAGGGAAACAAAAGAAAAAATAAAGAAATGGGACTACAGCAAAGGAAACCATCAACAAAATGAAAAGACAACACACTGAATGGGAAGACATATTTGCCAATGATACAGCTGATAAGGGATTAATATCCAAAATTTATAAAGAACTCATAAAACAACACCAAAATAACAAAAAAACCCAACAATCCAGTTAAAACATGGGCAAATGACCTCAATAGACACTTCTCCAAAGAGAAGACATAGAACTAATAGACATATGAAAAGATGCTCATCACTAATCACCAGAGAAATGCAAATTAAAACCACAACAAGGTATCACCTTGCACCTGTCAGAATGGCACTCATCAATAAATCCATAAACGACAAGTGCTGGAGAGGATGTGTACCAAGAGGAGCCCTCAGGCACTGCTGGTGGGAGTGCAGATTGGTGCAGCCACTATGGAGAGCAGTATGGAGTTTCCTCAAAAAAAAAAAAAAAAAAAAGAACTGCTTTATGACCCAGCGATTCACTTCTGGGAGTTTATCTGAAGAAATCTGAAACACTAGTTCAACAGAATATATGTATGCTATGTTCAGTGCAATGTTATTTACAATAGCCAAGATTTGGAGGCAGCCCAAGTGCCCATCAGCAGATAAGTGGGTAAAAAAAAGCTGTGGTACATTTACACAATAGAATATTACTCAGCCATAAAAAGGAAATCTTACCCTTTGTGACAGCATGGATGGACATGGAGAGCATTATGCTATGTGAAATTAGCCAGTCAGAGAAAGTCAGATACCGTATGACTTCACTTGTATGTGGAATCTAATGAACGAAATGAACTAACAAGCAAAACAGAGACATACATAGGGAGCATGCTGACAGCTGTGGGGGGAGTGGGTTCTTGGGTGAAGGGGAGTGGAGAAAAAAAAGAGACAAAACTCATGGACAGGACAACAGTGTGGTGATTGGGGTGGGGAGGTAGAGGAGGGTTATAGGGGTGATAGGTAAGTGGTGACGGACTGCGACTTGACTTGGGGTGGTGAATATACAATATAGTAGATAGGTGATGCACTGTAGAATTGAGCACCTGAAACTTGTACATTTTGTTAACCAGAGTCACTCCAATAAACTCAATAAAAAAGAATTTTAAAAAATTTAAGATAGCAGAAAAAGAAAAAGGTCTGAGTTTTAATCTCAGAAAACGCAATCCCCATTGCTCAGCCTGGAAGCTGCAAGAACTGGGAAGCAGAAGTGTTAAGGTCCAAGGCTGGGGGTCGCTAGGCAGCGGCAGGGCTGGAGAGGGAGAGAATCAAGAGGATGCCTGTGGCGCGGAAAAGAGAAAGGCAACCAAGAGGGCCCGTGGTCCCCGAGCATCAGGGAGGAATCAATAACGTGAAGCGCAATGAGGGGCCACAGGCATCACCGCCCAGCTCATCGGCTCTCCAGAGTCCTCCCCGCGGTTACAGACACATACCATCGTCTAACGCGATTATGAATTTAATGTTTCTACTCCCAGACGCCAGGGCTCGAGTCTTTTCATTTCATCCCAGTGCATAGCTGAAGAGCTAACTGGAGACAGAGACCGTCAAGAGGTTTCAGAAAGGGCTCCGTGAGCTGATTGCCTAGACGCACACGTGGAACTTAAGGGCATACCAACTGCAAGGAGGTTGGAATTGCGCGACAAAAGATCCTACAGAGAGGCTTCGGCCACCTCCCCGCCGTTTTCAAGAGGTAACAGACGGGCGGCAGGCGAACACAGCACTACACAGTTTGCAGAAGGCGTTCGCACCTAACGCCAGGAACTCGGAGAGGAGGAAAACGAGGGACCGCGGGCCGAACAGTGCGCGTGGAGCCCGGCTGCGGCCCCATTTCACAGGGGTGGCCTAGGGATACAGAGTCCCCGGCGTAACATTAAGTCCGCGGGTTCTCGGAGCAGAGCCGAGGTGGGTGGGATGCCACAGTTCCGGAGGCTACAGGCGCGGAGCGTCCGGCCTGGCGGCAGCACTACGTGCGTATCGCCGGGGAGCTCACAAACCGTCAACCGGAATCCTGAGCAGAGGTTGCCGGCCTGGGCTTTGGAATCCCCGCGCGCGTCCCGGCGCGCGAAGACACACTAGTGTCCAGCCCGCACCGGTGAGCGCCCAACTCGCCAACTCCCGGACTTTCGCAAAGCTCCCGCGGGCGGGGGAGCCGCCGAGGAGCGGGCGGCACCATCGGGGCCCGAGAGGGGGAAGCGGTTAGCACTCGGACCCCGCCGCGCCCAGGAGGACCAGAAAAAGCCTCGAGAAGGCAGGGGCCCGCGGCACAAAGCTCTCGGAGGACCATTCGCAAGAGGATGGCAAGGGGCGAGCCGCTTACCTGGGATCAGAGTGACGGGGGCGGCGGCGACCCCCCCGCGGCGGCGACACGGTGGCCGAGCCCGGCTCCCCGGCTGGCGAGCGGCGGAAGTGCCGCGGAGTAGGAGCGGGGCCGGCGCCGCGGCCGCTTCTCCTCGCCGAGCTGCTGCCGCCTCTGGGCGGACTGGCGGACGAGTGGACGCCCGAAGCTGGGGGCCGCGCGGCGGGACCGGCGGGACGCCGCGGGGCTGACCGGCCCCGATGAGGCGGAAGGAGAAGCGGCTTCTGCAGGCGGTGGCGCTGGTGCTGGCGGCCCTGGTCCTCCTTCCCAACGTGGGACTCTGGGCGCTGTACCGCGAGCGGCAGCCCGACGGCACCCCCGGGGAATCGGGGGCAGCGGTGCCCCCGGCAGCCGGACAGGTGAGTCCTCCAATTGTCATGGGGTTGGGAACAGTTTGTCCCCAAATTTACTTGTAGCTTTCGGTTCCTTTCTTTACCTTCCCCTGCCTTCTCGGAGTCAGCGCCAGAGACCCTTCTGTTCTTTCCATTTTTTGGATGGGAAACTGAGGCTTGGAGAAGGACAAGGACTTGTCCAGGGTTCCACACCCGACAGAAACAGAGCCAGAACCAGAAACCTGGGCTCCTGGTACCCAGTCTGGAGGTCTGTTTCTCGCCGTAGGTTACCATCCTCCCTTCTGCCCATGTCCGGGTATCTCAACTTCCAGTATCTCTCTTTTTGGAGGACCCTGTCTGCCTGCCCATATCCCAGGATAACTCCTTCTTCTGAAGATCCCGGTGCTTCTGTTTGGTGTCCAGGTCTGTTCTGCTTATTCCCCCACCTGCTGATCCCGGTGTTCCGTACGCAGTTCAGCCCCTTTCCTGTTTGCCCATCTGCCCAAAGAGACACCTGGGCCTTCCTGCTCTCCCCGTTTGTTCACCCTCCCTCCTTCCCAGCCTTATTTCTTTTCCATATCCTGTGGGTTCCTTGGAGGATGCAAGATCATGCTCCCCTTGGAGCTTCAGGCCCTAGAGGTGGGGAAGGGGGTGAGCTCCTGGTCTTTGAGGGGCCTGCTGCCTTTGACCTTCTGGAGGTCCAGAAGTGAGGGCTCTGGTGGAGGGATTCCCCAAATTTCGGAGGCGATTTGTGCCCAGCACGCTGAAGATGGGCTATCATATGCCTTCCTTGTCCTTCTCAGAGTACCCGTGACCCCTCTGAACTTGTCCAGTCTAGTTAGGTGTGGTCTTTCTTGTAGCAAATACTAGGATCTTAATTGTTTCTGCCTCCTCTAAACTCACCCATGTATGTGTGTGTGTGTTTGCGTGCACTGGGTGTCACCCATACATATACACTGATAGCAAGAGCCCTGGCGGATCACTGCTACCCTTCCAGCCCCTGGCGCAGTAGGTGCCAGTGAACCTATGCATGCTCAAACCATTTCATACAGTGGGACATTTCAGATTTGTTACAGGATTTCCTTGTTCCCATGGGAAGTGGATAATTTGTGCATCGGGGTCAAATTTGACTGATTGTTGTCCGCAGGATGAGCAAAGAGGCTGACTTTTAAGCTGATGGTTTTCCTTTCTCTTCCCAATATCAGGCTGCAGTATGGGCGGTGTGGCATCTTGAGTACAGAGGGAGGGCTCTTTGCAACGGGGCTGACCAGTTTTGAGTGTAGCCTGTCACTCTGCTAATTGTTACAGACCACCCTGGAGGGCCTGGATGATCTTCCTGGTAGAGCTTGCTGTTTGACACTGAGGCGCCCAGCTCTTTCATAAATCCCTGGTTCAAACCCCGACCGCCAGCACAGACCCAGCTCTCTTAAATACTGTTTTCATGTGGGCTTTTCCTTCATGAAATCTTTCTTCTGTTCCCATCCTATGCCAGCATTGGGGTCAGGAGGTCAGGAGGTCAGGGTCCTATCCTCTGCCCTACCACTGACTTGTTGTGTATGTCCTTGGTCACCTCCCAGGTCCCTCTCTGAGCCTCCCTTTCTCCTTACGTAAAATGTGGGTGTTGGTCCAGCCCCACCATTCTGTGATACAGTCAGTGAACCAATGAGGAGTATACTGACCACTTTTCTCCTGGAGCAGGAGCCCCTTATAGCATGTCTAGCTGTAGGGGGGTGCCATACTGAATACAGCCCCAGGTCAAGGAGGAGACTGTCCTGCCCAGGTGCAAACTCCCCTCTGTAATAGCCCAAGCCATTTCTAAAATAGCTCATAACATTCTGCCTCTGCCTGGAGAAAACCCTCATATTTCATTTGCTGTGGATGCCAGAGACGTCCTGATTCTCATTTTCTATAGACCCAGATGTGTAGAGAGAAGGTCAAGGTTAACTGCTAGTTTGGCCTGAGCTTTCAAAGTAAATTACTCACTTGTGCAAGAGGGAATTGACGGAGGAAAGCAGGCTTTTGGGCAGAGAGATAGAGAGAGAAGCAACAGCTGGGCGCTGCTCAGAGCCCTTAACTGAAATGGACAGACAGGCACATCTGGGAGGGTCTAGTTCTTGCTCATTTCTTTTGCTGTGCACTCTCATGAAGACCAGGAGGAAGAATTGGTGAATGGGGTTCGGTGGTGGTGGTAGGGGTTGCCAAGTGATTATCCTTGCTCTAAAGAGAATCGCTTTGCTTCCTGGGAGCAGCAGAATGGAGCTGTTTCCCCAATGATGAGCTCTTCTAGGTGCTATAGGATTCTGCATTCATCTGCTGCCTTTCAGGAACACTGTGCCAAATTTCCACACAGTCCCCTGTTTGTTCCACTCTCCTGCAGATGCACAGCACTGGGCTTGGCCCCCAGTCCCGTGTTTGCATGTCAGCTGGCCCTGAGGGGAGAAGCTGACTTCTCACAGCGACAGTGCTTCATCCCTCATCCCAGTGTGCTGGAATGTGCACGGAACACGCCAGGCTGCTGTCTGGGGAATCTGGCATCTTGAGTACACAGAACTGCTTTCGACAGGGCTGACCAATTCTGAGCTCAGCCTGCCACTCTTGTAATTGTTGACAGTTATCCCAGAGCACCTCGTTGATCTTTCTCATAGAAATAACTGCAGAGGCTCTGGAGGGAAGTCTGACAGGACTTTATCCCAGTGAAAAATATATTCCTGTGGGCTAGAGAGAAGTTTCTTTGAGGGTAACAAATGCACTGTTTGAACAGTCCTTTAACTCCTTGATTTCTCCACTGGATTGAAGAATACAGAGTTTTAAATTAAGAGCATTTATCATCTGCTACAATCTGAAGTCTACATAATTGTCACTTTGGCTCATTCTGGGTGCACCTCTGGAGCTGGGTAGGGCAGCTGATTTATAAGAGACGCATAATGCTGTTGGGATTTCAGCATTCATCCAGTGAGACAGCTCAGCTGGCTGCTTTGAAGGCTGCAAAACCAAGCAAGAAAAGCCAGTTTTGAAGCCACCTTCACTTTAATTTGGGGTTCCCTCTCATTCTTAGCCCCCATCTGCTGAACATCTTGGTTTGATTCTACAGTCTGTTTCATATTCCAGACTTGGGAACTGGCCATTAAAAACCCACGCTAGGAAACACGATGTAGTCCCTCCCCGTGTCTGCGCCGTAATCTTTTGTGAGAAATGACTTCATTGGATAACAGCGACTGTGGGGTAGAAATTGGTGGGATAATGGAATAACAGGGACTTCAGTTTCAAGTATCAAGAGTTTTTTTCATTGTATCTTTATTTTTCATTGTAAACTTTATTCTTAGACCATCCAGAAATCAATACTTTTTCCCTTTTGTCAGTCTTCCTGGTGGCAGGGCCTTACCAGTCAGAAAGTTAAGTGCCATGGAAATGTAGCTTCAGAATGATTTCTTTCGTTTTCCACAGAGGGGCTGGATCCAGTAGATGGCTAATCACTTCCCTGTCTGCAGGCTCAGCTGAAACCTGATGCCACAGGGGAAGGGTTGTTGATCTACCTGCACAAATCTGGCTTCCCTGCATTCTTTTTTCCTGCACTTGCAGCCCCCAAGGAGCCCAGCTGAGGAAGGCTTGGAAACAGAGGCCGGGGTTCCAGTTCTCTGCCCTTCCCTAAACTTACTGTGTGACCTTAGGAAAGTGGTGTAACCTCTCTGGGCCTTGGATTCCTGATGTGTGAAGTGAGGGCTTAGGCTCAGAAGGGGCAAGGTAATTGTGTGTTACAATGATGCTTCCCCTCTCCCAGCCAGGGCAGACATTGCTAAGCAGTCTCTTTTCCATTAAGTCCAGACATGGCCTCAGACTCTTTCTCAACACTGCTACTCAGGGAGTGTTAATGGCACATTGGAATTCACTTGTGATGTAGTGAATGGATACTGTCAGGACTTTTACAACTCTCACATCCTGGAGTTCTTTTGAGTTTGCTTGGAAGCATGTATTAGAAAGGCCTGGATAGTAGCAGTGTGTTCAAACAGGCTTCCATATCTAACTTGTGATGCGGCCACTACTTAGAGATGTGCGTAGCCTAATTCCTTCTCTCAGGCTGTTGTCTAAGGACGTTCAGCTTTTAATCTGTTAGCTGCAGAAACACGATAACAAAAATAATGGAATCAGGAATGAAAAAGCAAAGGCCCATTTAAAAGATAGCCATCTAGCTTGCTAATTGTACCTTGTCCACAGTCAACTCTTACACAGAGATGGCATCCGGATCTCATCACTTAAACACTCCTGGAGGCAAACTTGGCAGCCGAACTTGGATGCTGTTTGCAGAGGTTTTTTATTTTGCATGTATCTGACCCTCTGTATTCCATAGACATGTCAGAGCCAATAAAAGAAGAGCTACTGGATAAGGCTCTGCCCCAGGAAGGCTGAAACGAGAGTCTTGCTTCTCTGAAAACCACTGCCCTCGTGCCCAGTGGGATGGAGCAGGGAGACAGCCTACATGTGCCTGAGTTCCTGGGGCCAAGGAGCACATTGTGGCCTTCCCTCCCGGAAATATCTTAAAGTAGGAACCATGTCCTCTAGCACGTAGCGTAAGGGTTGGCACTGGGGAGACAGAACATGTTTGCTGAGTGACGATGTGTATCACAGTAGAACAGGGACTCCTGGAGTCATCCAGTCCAGCCCCCTTGTTTTATTGGTATAGGAACTGAGGCCCAGGAGAGGGGGCAGGCAGTTTACAGAGGGAGGCATGCAGAGCAGAGCCCAGTTCTTCTCCTCACTCTGTTGGACCGTGAATATTTTTCCCTCCATGTACTAATATTTGATCCTTCTCTCCATTATTTCCCTCATGAGCCAAGATTATTACTCCCAGTTGTGGAGGCCAGTACTTAACTGAGACCAGCTCTCTGCTGGAACTTACCTGGCCTTTAAGTTTTCTTCCCCAAATTTTATAGTTTTAAAGCAAGTAAAGTGGATTGACTTTTAAGGTGGCAAAGGGATCCAGTGGGGGAATTAGAGGAGTTAAAAGAGTGCATCACACATGGCACCATCAC